GCTGCTCTGCAACAGGGAGCATGGCTCAGGAGGCAATGTGAAATGTTCTGCAAAAAACATTGTCACTTATAAAACTATTAGGACTCAGTGTGCTAATAGGGAGTCCTATGAAGAGGAAGCACTTGGAATAACGCACAGGGATGTGTGTAGCATAGTCCTTTCAAGCTTTTCTTACCATAAGTACTGCAGAGGTTCCCTCCCACCGGTCTCCCTGAAGGACTGTCCTTGGGAACAGAACTGCTGCCAGCAATCAATGCCACACAAACAGAAGCTTCACACCATGTCACAAATGTTGAGGTATTAAACCCAGATATTTCCTTTTTGTGAGTTGCTCCAGCCCTTGAATAGACCCCAGTTTTGTCTGATGTTGAAGTGCCCTTCACTGCCCATCCGTGTAACTCCTTGAACAACCAGAGAATGCTAAGTGACAGAAAGCAAAGTGACCCCTCTGTGCTTCAGCACAGAGACATCGAGGCATTTGCTCTTACAAAAATATTAGCACAAAGTTGGTCACTACCCAGACCAGGCGTGGGTTTATGGAAACAAAGTAAATCAGCTCTGCAGCATGCTTTGTTGGTATATTCAGCCTTCTCTCTCTATGTCAAGCTATAAAATTGCTGGGTCAAAGTAGAGCTGGGCCCGAGTCCAAACTTGCCCCAACTTGAGAGGAACTTGGATCCACATCCCAACTCTGGGACTTGGCTCTGCCTCTAAATCAAGCTCTTTCAATCTCTTAGGAAGAGTCAGACCCATGAATTACCCACTAAGTCACAGAAGGCAGCCAAAGCTGGCTGTTTCTGAACAAGTTTGCTCTGCCTGCCTTGCATTGCCAGTTAAGGAACCTAGGTGGATCCTTTGGTTAACCCTGGAAATCTTGGCCTTTGCTTTGGGAAGAAGCCATACATCATTCATCTGATATTTTAATTTCAAAATTATTTTTCTTCTCCTTCCTTTCCTCTGATCAGGTCAGTGAACTGAGACACCAGGAGATGGTAGAAGTCATCTCCAGCAGCCTTTGCTAGGAGCCTTGCTACACCTTACTGCATCACTTGGAAGCAAGGCAAGGGAAAGGCAGGAGGCACTGGAGAGAAGAGGCTTGTATGTTCTCTGGAGTGAACCTCCATGCTCTCTGCACTGCCAGGTGCTTGGGTTAAAGCAAGTTTCCCTGTCAGCCTGGATGGGCCACCACCAAATGGGTAGGAAGTGCTACAGGGATTGCCTGGCTCTTCCATGCCGTGGTGGTGCGAGGGTTTGAGGTTAAGCTTTCGCATAAGATATGAGCAGGAAACCACGCTCACACCCAGAGTGGTGAATTGACGTAAAAAGGAGACTGCAATTAAGAAATGAGATATGGGATGGATGAGGGTAGCAGGCCCCAGGGATCAATAGAGCTGTTCTGTGTTTGATTGAGGTCTTCTCTTTCAGACTTGTCTTCTGTGACTCCAAATCTTCATCCTCTGCCACCTTATTACTGTATTATTACTTGTTACAATAATGACGGAATGTCTCATTATTGCTGCTACCATCAATAACAGCAGCAGTTTATCAGCAGTGTTTATTAAGTTAAATTCCATGCCAACATATATCTTCCCCTCACAACACAATTTATATGTGATCTAAGATTGTAGTGGTAGAAGACAGAGAAAAATATATGTCATTTGAGTGTATTTCAGTGGTTCATTGACTTGTTTCAAATTAAGTCCCTTCAAAGAGGTTTAAAGTTTGGGTTCCTAAACTGAGCCCTTTTCCTGCTGCAAAAAACTGATTTTTGGTGTCTTCACACTTTCCGTTTGTTCTGTCAGTTTCTCCATGTCCACCAACTTCCCAGAATTGCCAAGCCACCATCCTAAACACTTCCCAACTTTTTCCTTTCTCTTTTTCCCCCATTACTTAGTTTGGTTTTGGAAGCATTGATAAGAATCCTGAATTGATAAAAAATCTCAGTGAAGACCTACTGGCAATTCCCAAATAAAGACTTTGTGAATCCTGCTTTGAAGGACTATGGTGTTTCCCCCTTTTTTTTCCTGCATGCTGTGAAGTGCTGTGTAATACACTGAAGTGAGCAGCTTATGACCCCATTCACAGGCAAAACACAGGATATTGTTTCCAAAATGCTTCTGTTTGTGCTAATAAGAAAAGCATTCCTTACTTGATTTCCGTTTGTCCTCCTGCTTTTCGGGCGATTTGAATCAGCTCTTTCCCATATCTCTCTTCTGCTTGTGCTCTGTTAAGAGGAAAAACTTAACTCAATTTCTCTTCGTGGTACCAGGATCACATTCACACAAACCTTGTAATCGCATTTGAGGTACAGAATGTGAGAAAAGCAATTTCTTTGCTTCCTCTATATCTCCTCAATCCCCATGCTATTTTTTACTTCTCAAATATTTGGGGTGAGCTATTTCTAGAAGAAATGAGGGAAAACAAAACCCATCGCCATGGCTTTGATTAATGTGGAGTGCTATGTACAACTCTGTCCCCAAAATGTTGGATTCCATTAGAATAAGAGGGGTGCAGAAGTGTAGTGAAGATGCTGTTTTGCAAAAGAAGCCAAAAAGAAGATAGCTGACTTGACCCATCAAAAAGAAGGCTGGGAGGGGACGGAAGTGTAGATTCTAAAGGATCCATTTGAGAGGTTGTGAATAGATGGGAGCAGGGAGTAGCAGGAACATTTGTAGCTGTTAGAAACATGAGGTGCAGCTTGAAAGAGCTGCAGTGGAGGCTGAGGGGGAAGGTGAGGCTGTGAGAGTTTTATGGAGGGATCAATATGATGCGATGTCCCACCTAATGGGGAACTGTAATTGGTGACTTAGGGAAGTGCTTCTTCCCCGAGTTCTTCCCTGAGCATTTCTATAGGTAATAAAGAAATACAAGTATTTCTTTGCTGTTCCCACTCCCCCAGCTCTGGAAGAAATTCCTATTCTCTGTTACTGCTTTTCTCCTGGGTGCCAGACCAGGGTGGAACCACGGTTTCAGTCTTTGAGTAGCTGCTAAGACCTACTGAATGGATAATGAACAGATAGCCTGGTGCTAGGACCTGGGGGTGGGGGGAGGTGGTTTTGGGTAAGTCCACTTCTCAAAAGGGGTTTCAAAGCATTTCAAACAGTTCTGAGCCTGAAACTTGGCATCTTAGAGAAACACACTCTTTGTTCGGAGAAGGCATTTCGATGTGGGTGCGAGGCCGTGCAACCCCACCGGCTTGTTCTTCACCCATCCTCCCGCTCAGCCACGCTACGCTCTGTTATTGCTATTTGCTGGGTTCCAGTGGTGTGGGGGCAGTTTTCTCAGCTTTCAACACGGCAGCTGTAGGACACGTCTCTGTTTGAGAACACGCAACTGCGCGTTCGGCTGTTCCTCGGCGCCTGGCGGCAGCGGGAGCCTTGCCTTGTAGCCAGCTCTACCAGTCCAATTTCACCGGTTTGCAACCACCTTCTGTGATTGCAGCCATCTTCCTGACCTGTGGCAGGCTCGTCCTGGCCACTTCCCCCCAGCACAAGGCATCTGTCAGGCTGGTGGAGTAGCAGTGCTGGTCGTACAGCAGCCTACGGTCACTATAGCCTGGAGTGGAGGTTATTCCTGGCCTCTGCCCGTGGCTCCCATGTGTCTTATGCTGCACGTGCAGTCAGTTAATTGCTGTCATCCTGTGCTAGAAAGTGCTGAGTTTTAGTGGGCTGTTCCTATGTCACTGCTTTGGGATTCCTTCTACAAGAATGGGGTGCAAAGTATAGTGACAGGCCACACAGAAGTACCACTTTATTTTCACTTTAGATGAATGAAATTTCATTGAAATGGAAATACACTCCAGAGACACAATGCTTCAGGAGTAAAATAGATTCGTTTTCTTCTGATTTTGATAACAAGAAACACAAGTGGCAGAGACTTTGCTTAGTGCCACTGGATGTGCAGAAATTAGAATAACCCCAGTGCTACTGTCCCACTCGGTTTGCTTGGGGCACACCATATCACAGGGAAAAAGCATGGCCAGCTCTTAAGCCAGTCCCAGCTCCTGCAAAACCCTTGGGCCAAATCTTCCTGAAACCTCAGGCATGGGTCAGAGGAGTTTGACAGGGGGCTGCTACCATCATTTCACATCTTGGTGCTGCCTTTGCTTCCACTACTCTTGCACACAGCTTCTGGGTTTCCCTGTCCCATGAATGACATGAGGACAAGCTGAAGCAAACATCCTGCAGGAATAAACTGGAAATGATACCTTCTTTCTGCAACTCAGTGCCCCCTGTCATTTCTCATTTTCCTCTTGCCCCAGCTTGCACGTACACGCACAAGCACATGCACGTTTGCACACCCACTTTAATGCTTCAGGGGTGTGCAAAAGTTCATGGAAACATTAGTTCTTGTGGCTTTCAGATCTGCAAGGTGACTGTACATGTATTTTTTCTTCTTTGTGGAAAGTCCTTTGTGCCTCCTCCACAAGGCAGGAAGAACCTTATCCTGTAACTTACAGAAACCTCTAGAATGCTTCATTAAAAAGCACAGGCGTATGCAACATCAGATGTGTGCTGCCATGCAGAGCCTTCCTGAAGCCTCCAATGTAGTTGTGATCTCAGTAAGTTAATGAGTCACAAACGAGCTGTTTTAAACAGTTGAAGCTAAGCTACCATGGGACAGATGTGTCTTCAGGACTGTGTGACATAAAATAAGCTTCCACTGGTGATTGAGAAAAGCAATTCAAATAGCTTCAGGTTTTGATGGGAGACTCTTCACACTCTGTGAAATACTCAACTTTCAGTTTGACAGGTCACATCCCCTTGAAAGTCCCTGTGTTTGAAAAGTAGCCTTCAGAAAACCAACCTACAACCAGATGGGGACAGCATGGGAAGAAGCAGCAGGCTGTGACTGCGGCAGACGGAGCGATATGCATAAGGAGACAGTTCTGAGATGAACGGCTGAGTATATAATCCGTATTGTGTGGTCTTCCTACAGGCCATGCATGAGTATGTGTGTGCCCCACACTACATGTTGGAACAGTTAAAGCCCAGCCACTTCAAAACAGAACCACATTTATTTTTCTAAGTAAGTACAAAAATGAATGGCAAAGGAGCAGCTGTGTAATATGTGTTTTCTCACCCACAAAAGTGTCAGCTGCCCACAGCTGCTGTTGAGAGGCACCCAAGCAGCATGTAAAGGATGGACATAAACTACAAGGATGTTATTTAAAGCCTGGTATGGTTGGTGAATGATGCAGGCTGTCTCGGGAAAGGCTTCTGTTAGCATCTTATATAGGCTTGTATTTGAAAAATGGCCCATTTTTGGTAGCTCCAGAAAACTGAAACAGTGCCTGTGGCAAGAGTGTGTTCAAAGAGAAGGAAAAAAATGCAAGTCATTTGCTCCCTGCGCAAGGGGAAACTCAGTAGTGCTACCCGGGGATGTGTGTGTGTGCTACTGTGTGATTCTGAACCAGTGAGACCTGCGTCCTAATGGAGCTCTGGGTTTCTGACTTTTTCAGCCTCCTCAGGTCTTTGGGATTCCTGTTTGCTGTCCTCGTCACAGGGCTTGGGCTGAAATCACTCAGGTTTTCCTATATAAACTAGTATCACTACCAAGTTCAGAACCAGCCTGCTATTCCTTTCCGGATGCCAAGCAGGACAGAAGCCAGAGGCTGTTCAGATGTTTTTCACTCTGATTCTCTAATTTTCTTACCTCTGCTTGAGCAGATCCTCCACATCTTTGCACATCTTCCTCCCATCCAACAGCCGCTGTACAAGCACCTCGTAGCCAGTGTGGAGGGTGAACTCCTTGCACTAAAGATGAAAGATAAAGAGTTGAGTTCATTTACGCACTCAGTTTGCAGATTTACCGGACACCTACAGCAAATGGGGCAAACTGGAAAATCCCAATGGATTGAGATTTGCTCAGAGCAACGGTAACTGGGGCAGGGCTAAGGGCACGGGTAGGGATGAGGTTTCTCCAAAGTGAAAATCTGCAAAAGTTTTTATTAAACCAAGTTTGGGTTTTAACACTGAAAAAGTAAAGTGGGTTGTGCATTTTGCTGTGTGGAAAGCAGCACTTGCTGTTCTTTTGGGGAAGTCACGTTTAGCTTTGGGTGTGGGTTCTTTGCAGAGCAGAGATGTATTAGTAGCTCTTAAGAACAACAGCTCCTCTTACATATGTTTTCTAAGAAGAACAGTTAGAGTCAACTCATGGGCACAGGACTCTCAGTAAGACAGTGACCTGCTGTGGCGGTGCGAGTGGAGAAGAGAAGGATGAGTATCAGTACACAGGGTAGTGGCTGAGCCACCCAGTCAGTGGTGGGCTGTTTTAATGGGAGGATTCAAAAAAGTTGGCATCTGGAGAACTTAGGAATGTGGATGTTGGATCTGCAGGAAATCAGAAGTCTGTATTTCTGAGATGCTCGCCTGTGAGTGCTGCTTCCCCTGCTTTTGCATTCACCACCCTATCTCCTGTGCAATACATGGGATTAGCTGTGCCTTTGGGTCCTCTTGCAGCCTGTCCTGCTCCACAACCCCACAGGGTAACTGGAGCCAGCCAAGGTGATCTGTGGTTTCCAGCCAGCCCCACGAGACAGGCAAGGCTACAGAGCTGGGTGGTGTTTGCTGCCTGCCACAAAGCCAGAGCTCCTAGCTCCTCCCAGGGCCACATTCCTGCGCCGTGTTCTAGGGCTGCAATCCCTCCCCATCACGTAGGTCCATGCGTCAGGCTTGTCCCTGTCAATGTGATCTATCAGAGCACACCCCAATGCTTCTCAGACAAAAACATCTGAGGAATGAGAAGAAAAACAATTAGCCTTGCACTTCTTTCGTTGTTTTCCCTACTTCCAGGTTGCACTGCAGCAGTGGTAAATCAGAGCCACAGCAAAGCCAGTGCTGCTGAGGAAACAGTGGGAGCCCAGAAAGGGAAGGGAATAAAGTTGAGACATGCTATGAGTGTGGCACTGGGAGAGGATTTCTGTGTTCTGCTCCTGGTCCTCCCACTGTCTCACAACAGGATCAGGACAAGCCATTTTTACTTTGAGAGCCCCAGTTAACCAGTGCATAGTGATAGTATTACTGAAAATGTAGTGGGGAATGTTATCTTGGCTTTATGTTAGAGCATTATGGTAAAATCATGGACTGTGTAACCATAAAGAGAATGAATATGTTCCTTCCCTCAGGCAGTTTATGTACAATATAAGTGCTTATATATGAACTGAATACAGTTTATACATCCATCCACTGTACCCTAAGCAGTTATCATTTAACAAATACACTAGTTTATTGCTTTCCACCATGACTGTGAAGAAAAGAGCTGTTCAACTTTTAGGACTTGGGAAGGATCCTTTGTCAAGCAGCAGTTGGACACTTTTGTCCGTGCCTTTGCTTCCTTATTGCTGGGACTAAGAGGAATAGAACAAGCTCTGGAGACAAATGGCAGTGGCTGATGGCAACCTTGGTGCTGCTCACCCAGGCCCCAGGGCTTCTGTGGAGATTTGCAGCCCTGGGCTGCTTCAAGAGACAGGATCAGTTTCTGCAGAACACCTTTGTAAACCTGCAGGTTGTGGTAACATTTCCAGTGCTACCATGCTTGAAAGCAGTAATTCCTTCTTCCCTAATGGACACGCTTATCACAAGCAATGGGGAGAAAGGAAAGACAGTAGGATAGTGATTCACAAGAGACATAGACAAATTCCTCCACTAGCAAAGTGTCTGTGCTGCAGAGCCCGACAAGATGATAATGTAGATAAAAGAGTACAGAAAGAGTGCAATGGATCCACTGTTACCACTGTTGCCAGTGCAGGAAAATAAAAGACGCCACATGCTCATCTGATGCATATGATCATCCCTTAAGAAACAGGATCTCAAAACCAAAACATCAGTTTTCCTAATGTTTCCAAGGGCAGGTTACACACACATCCCAGGGAGGGATCCTGCTGTGAAATAAATGAGAAGAAGCAAGGGTTTCCCGTTCATAGAGCAAAGTAGGAAAGGTTCTTGACAATACCCTGGCAATGGGCATGTCAATTCCCCCCTCTCCCTTTTTCTTCCTTTGAGGCAATCCCAATGGCAGAAGGCACTGCTGCAGTAAAACACCCCCATAGATTGCTTCCTCTGTCTGGCAGGAACCGCTTTGGTCCCATTCTCCACACCCATCTCACAGCCCAAACGTTTGGATGGTGTATTTCCAGGTGCAATTCGCTACATCCCACAGCTGTGCACACAGCTTCGTGTCCCAGAAACGCTGCCCAGGGATAAGTGCAGTATCGTATGGCCTTGTATCACCCCAGCAGTCAGGCATCCTGCCATGAGCAACAACCGAGAGGATAAGCACACTGTGAAGTAACTCTGCCATTTCTGGTCAACATCTCTCTTTGTTTAGTAAATGCTAAAACTCACTTGCAGCACATGTAACAAAATACTCTCACAGTCTGCATTAAGGCATCCTTTGTAAGCTACACTGCCCTCGGTAGCACAGCAGTGCAGTCTTCTTGGAGCTCTGCAAACAGGCTTACCTCCAGGATGTGCACTGGCATTTTCACTGGCACTAATGCAAAGGGAACGGGTTACTGCTGCTCCCCAGTGCCCACCACAGATTCTCTGCTCCATCTTTTTGCCTTCCTACTTCCTGACTTCAATGAATTTAGAAATGCAAAAGCCAGATTTTACTTATTGTTTTACTTATTGTAAATACTTATTGTATTACTTATTGTAATACAACATTGTATTACTTATTGTAATACAATTGTGTAGTAATACTTATTGTATTACTATAGGAATATTTTAGCCCTTTAATGTACGTAGAAAGATACTTGTTTGAATGTGAAATCTGTAATAGCACTTGCTCATTCCTAGATCGCAGCCTTTCTACCAAGCAGAGGATGGGAGTAGTGTTCTCACTGCTCATTCTGTGCCGTTGTGTGCACGTGTGCATGCCAAGCGCAAACAGGCAGTGCCTTACTCAACAGTTTTGCTTTGTCTGTTGCCTGCTGACACGAGTAAGACTTGGACTTGTTAAGAATGGAGCCACTGCAGCCACATCTAAAGGAGAGCTGAAATCTCCTCTGATGGAGATAGCAGTTCCTGCTTGTTAGATTCATCTGGGTTTTGTCCCTATGGCTGACCCCTGTAAAGAGATTTGGCTCCAGCCAGGTCTAAAAAGGACTTCATACCACAGGTACTCATTTAATCTTCCTTCATTTTGGGGGGATCCATCTCAAATTTGCTTTATTGTCCTCACTATGTGTTCCTGAAGAACATGTAAACCCTATCTCAGAAACCACAGCATCTGCACCCTAAACCAGGACTGCCTCAGCCTCCCGAGCAGCAGATCTGGCTGTGGTCTAACTAGCATGTGCAACTGGCACCGCACAGGTTACAGCAAGGAGGGAGAGGAAACACAGACAGTTGACAGCCCAGAATTAGATAAGTTTAAGCTGCTCTGGTCATTCACCCTGTGACATTGCCTCTTAATTCCCAACCACAGTGCAGCCATAAATCATTTAAGCCTCCATTTACTTACACAAACATTTCCCTTTTATTGCAACGGCTTTTTTTGTTCTTTTTCCATGTGTTGTACAACTGCATCCTCTCTCAGCCTCTCCCTGAACCCAAACAAACCTCCTGCATCCTTTCTGAGATACTGGTTCTTCATTCCATCGATTCCCATGTGTTCCTATAGTACCTGTTCGAGGCTGAGTAAGTCCCTGCTGGACAAGGTTGATACTCCACTATTGCAGAGAAGGCTAACTGATGCTTTGTACCGTGGCATTAATGTCTGCTGCCTAAGAAACACTTCTGGTCCACCAGAGGATTGGATTTGCTTTCTTCCACTACCAAATCATACCAGTGGCACCTAACCGAGCTACAATCTATCGATGTACCTCCATTTTCTCCTCTCCTGCAATTTTACTTACTGAGGTCCCAGAGGGTATTGGACCTTTTTGCTACTGATTCTTACTCACACTTTGCACTTTGAAACTTTAATTTTACCTGCTTTCTGTAACCCCAGGCTTGAAGGTCATCAGATACCTCCTGTACAATATTTCATCCTACCTATTTGTTTCAACAACAGCTATTTCCAGCCCATTCTTAGTGTCTTATGCCAGTATCTCCAATGAATATATTGAATGAAATTAACCCTGAGACCACCTCTCGAGATCCCTTCCTCCAGCTTGGGCATTTCCATTTCAGCACAAGCCACCAGCATCTCCTCCAGAACAGTGTCTTTGCCCACTTTACTGTTCTGCTGTGTCTGTCCAGCCCTGTTTTGTTTTTCTTCTCTAGTTTCTTAAGGATTTCCTCTATAGCACAATAACAGACCCCACATTTGCTTTGTCAGGACAATCAAGACAGCAAGACTGTATCACATTGAACAACTATCTAGCCTTGCTAAGCTGTCTTGCCTTTATTCTATTTTCCATTCACCATTAGGCTGTTAAAACTGCAGTTTTGGACACCTCTCAGCTGGGACTTCATGATGATTAGAAGAACTAACGAGTAGTAAAAGAACTATTTTATTTTTTATTAGAAACTTGCGAAGTGCTTTAGTTAGGTAATAAATATCTTCATTAAATGTGTAAAATATCATTTGCTTACAGCAAAAATAAGGTAGTTGCTTGGAAGGAGGAGATTTGAATTACCACCACTCATTCGTTTCACTGCCAAGAAAGTGATTCCGCTTAGTCAAAGCGTGTGTGGTTGTGAAGGAGGATTTACTCATTGTTACTTTAATAAAAAAGACTAGGTCATCTGCGTTGTCCGACAGACCTATAATCGCTTGTAAGCAAGAGCTTGACAAAGGGATTTCAGTGTTGCAGGCAGATTTGTATTGTCCTGAGATTCTTCCACGGGGAAAATCACAGCTAATGCAGAGGCAGCATCTCTTCTCCTCTTCTCATTTACAAAGGTTGCTTCCTTTGAGTGCAATGAGCAACCCTGTTCCTCCAGAGATGAACGAAATGTGAAAGGGACTATATGACTGAAACCCACAAACTTTATGCTCTAGTTTAACCAGAATAGCTTTTCCTTGAACACTTGAAAGGAGGCATGGAAGACTGCAAGCAGAGGTGTTGACAGTAAGCACACTGGGATACGCTTTCTTCTTTCCATTTCTTTCTTCCTCTAGGGTTTAATGCTGCTGTTCCCTCACAGTAGCACTTTTCTACAGAGATGGGTGCCTTGGGACTGTGCCATCCCATCTGGCAGAAGTTTCTCCATAGGCAATCACGCAGGTAAACATCAGGACTTAATTGTGGGAGAGATTATTCACTGCAGCCATGAAGGAGAGGCACTGACGATTTTGGTTTCCAAGGCTGCCAGCGGGAAGACTGATGGTGTCAGTTCCCTGCCCAGAGGGTAGGAAGTTCAGTATGAAGATAGCTGGGACGTGACAGTTTCTTCTTTCCTCCTGGTGGCACAAAGCAGAGTAACCTTATGCCAGGTCTTGTGTCTTTAGCTGAGAATCAGCTTCATGGCACATCCCTTCTCTGAGCCTTGTGCTGCAGGTGCTCAGAGGGGACTGCAAGGCTTTTTGAAGAGCAGGTATCCATGGTTTGAAGTCACAAGGGTACTACTGCAATAATATCAAGCAGGAAAGACTAAAATGCTTTACTGGTTGCTGAGGCGTGGTTTTGGTAAATAGCTGTTATGGTGGACTGGACTGAAGGAGGATACTCTGGCTTGTGTGTGGAGCATGTGCTAAACTGCACATTCTTGCATGTCCAACTACTAATATTCAGAAAGTGACAAGAATTGATCAAGTCCTTGAAGTTGTGCTGTAGGAACTGTGAGCTCTTCTGTTGTGGCTGGTTTTCCTGGAGCATTTCTAACACCATTTGGAGACCCAGAACCCTTTGTAGAAGTCATTTCCATACCACAATTCATACCTCTACCTGCTCCTGCTTAGCATATCCCCCAGGGAAGTGCTTTGCACCTGAAGCCATAGGTCCTGTTTGGTAAGTGCCACTGCAGCTCTACCTCAGCTTCTGCATTGCTCAGGGGAGCTGCAGTCCTGGCTATCAGCAAAATAAGTTATCTTATCTTCCCCAGCACCTCCAGCTACAAAGCCTGCTCTCTTGCTCTTTGCAAGGGACTAGGTCCTAGGTGGTACACAGGGAGAGTAACCCCAGGATGCAGCACGGCAGTACCACCACCCTGATGGAGAAATAGGGCTGGAAGAGAAATAACTACACAGCAGACACTGGGTGCATTGCTTGGTACGTGGCAGGATGGTGCTGAGCTCCCATGGTGGCACAGGTGGTATCAAAATCTGCATGTTGACTGGTTTGCACATCTAAGGTGGGCCTGCCTGCAAGTGGTAGTGGTACAAGCACCAGCAGTTACAGCACAGCTACCGAACCAACCGGCTCACCCTTCGTTTAGGAATTAGTTGAGATGTATTATCCGCAAACATTCAAAAGTATTTCCAAATCTGAAAATATTGAGCTCCAAAAGTGCATTCCTTGTCTTTGTTCTTAATGGTATTTGCTCAAGGGTTTTATCAGAAGTATTATCAAGATGGGGTTTGGACTGAAAACGATAAACGTTGCGCACTCCCCTAAATAAAGTCTTCATACCGATTTCCAAAAGGGAAGAAAAAAGAAAACGAAACCAAATCTGTTAGGGGTATCTGTGGAATTCTTTAAAAATCAAACTTTTTTTGCATCACAGCTTGTCTGTGTAGTTATGGGAAACTCTTGACAATTTTAGTAAAACGAAAGCCGTAGATTCCTCTTTCCAGGTTCAAACATTAACTAAGTACTGGAGTGAGGAGACGATTTAGAGAGAACAGGGGACAAGGAGTTTTGAACAAGCTCCATTCTGCCAACACCTTTTTCAGCTGTCAGGAAGAAATCTTTTCTATCCACAATTGCGTCACTCATGATATCTCAGTCCTGGACTGAAAGTAAGTTGTACCGACTGAGTTATAGCAACGAACTGTATCACTGCACTATACCACTGTGTGCTGGCACTGCTTAAAAAGAGTGTTTCTAGATCTTCCTCTCTTGATCTGCTAGTCTTCTTGTCAAGAGCTCTGTCAAATGCTTAGTATTTACTGGTGAGCAGCAAACAGGCCTAATAGCCAACAGTCAAACGTGATTTATAATCTCAAAGTACATTTGACTGGGCTGGATGTTTTCTATCACGTCCTGGTCTTTCACTGTAATTGAATCACTTTTGGCTGGTTTTTTTTTTCCCCGGGATACTTTAAATTTTCCCAGTGTCTCTATGAATATATTCACATGATACCGAGAGTTTTTAGGAAGTTTATTGCTCTCTTTCTGCCACGCTCAAGCTACCCTGACATAAACAGCAAAACAAATGGGAGATAGCAGCCACTGATTTGTGTATCTGCAGTGTTGCAGCAGAAGCCTCTAACCAAAACAGTCTCCTCTGACCTATCCTTGGTGGGAGATGAGTCCTTTTGATGTGATAACAAAGTAGTTAAGGAGTTTAAAAGTGTATGTCCATGTTGCATTCAGTTATGCCATGTGAGAGCTCCTTTTTCCTACTGACCGGAAGTGGTTGGGATATA